TATACCTTATAAATCAGAAAGTAACTCAGAGCTGTGAGATTGTGTAAGTACCTGCACTACATAGGTGACACTTGCTGCTGAAATCCCTGCTCTGCCTTGCTCTGCTCACCCCTGGAGCTACCTAGTGCAACTTTCCACTCCTCAGCACGGACAGACATCCTATTCAGGATCCAGCTGTGTTGATGGAAAAGATGCTGCTGGCAAGTGTCCGTGTTCTTCATCGCTGTAGCTTGCTTTTGGGGACGCAGGTGGAAGTGCTTTGTAGCCTAACCCCAGCATTGGCACAGGCCAGCAATTTTAACCGTTTTAAGTCACCCAGGATGATTTGGACTGTAGGAGTCACCCAGGATGATTTGCACTTGCCTGCTTGGAGGGACAGGGATGCTCACATCCCCTTCGGTGCTAACAGAGGGGAGGACAGCAATCACAGCCGCACCCAGAAAGGCAGGCTGCACCCCCGACTCTGAGCAAGTGCACTGGCTTAATGGAATCCATTTAAAACTGCCGTAATTAAGTTGATGCATCTCTGTACATGCAGACTAGGTGTGAAGCCTCACCTGGGCTTGTAACAGTTGCATTAAATTGGATTTGAAGCACGTGAGAAAAGAGCTTGCACCTTCTATGATTCTGTGATTCCTTGCACTGGCACCTTTGGACACTTTTGCAATACCAGCAACTGAGCCCAACGTTCATGTTGTTTGTTGGCCTTGCGACTGGAAGGAGACACCACTGAGATGGTTTACGCTGGGAAATTACATCATGTTAGAACATGTTGCTCAGGACTCCCGGTGACTACCACAGTGTAATTTCCCATCATAAACAAGGCCTGTGAGACAGCTGTCGGGAGGCTGAGCATCAGCGGACGGGGCTGATCCTGCTCCTGTCTGCGCTCCTCGGGCTGTGGGTGATTCAGCCGCACGCTGCAGGCGCTGCGGCCAGGGCAGGGCTGAGCCCCAGCCCTCAGCATCATTCCAATGGCAGGGTGCAGGCACGCTGTGTAGTTTTGGTACTGGATATAAGCGCCAACAAGCTTGTTTTGTTTTGTTTTGTTTTGTTTCTTGTTTTGGTTTTGGGTTTTTTTTTAAATAGCCTTCAGAGAACTAGATCATGGTTTTGGTTAGGGTTTTTTTTTTAGAGTCTCAAAACAAGCAAAATCTCCCCTCTTCTCCCAATAACTCTGGGAGGCTGCAACCAAGATCAGAATAGGAAAGTGTTGATTAACAGGCTGTATGTGCTCAGCTCTGTGACTGACTGGGCAATCAGTGCTTTTAGGCAAGCATAAATATGGCAAAACATTGTGCAGGCTTTGTGGCTCCACTGTTTAAAATTCAGTTGCTCCAAAAAGCAAGGGTTCATTGGCTCGCTGCCGTTAGGCAACTACGAAGAAAGAAAAAATAGCACATACAAGAACAGTTAATTTAAAATTTAAATGGGAACCTATGGTTTAATTATATATAAGGAAAGGTTAAATACCAAAGTATAGTTGGTTGTATTTCAGAGTAGGTTAATTATTCCCAGATCATCTCAAAGTGTTCAGTACTCTGCTCGTATCTTTTCAGTCACCCTGTGTACACGCTGCATCACTTTACACAGGGCTTTGGTGAGGGGTGGTGGTCATGGTACTTCTCACACCAGATTCTTAAGCAAACTTGAAGTAACATGTTATTTTTGCATACTGTAGTGTGTGCATATTTTATAGGGTGAAGTAGGAGATTTTTACATCAAGATAAGGGTAACTGTAAGCAGAAAAAGCTATAAAACTTTAAAAAAAGAGTTTTTAAAAAAATCTATGAACAGGGGAAAAAAAAATCTTCAGCCAGATCAGTTCAAGTCTCTGATTTTCCACAAGGCTGAAGGACTGCAAGAACTGCGAGGAGGCAAGGAGCGTGCAGCCAGGGCCGGGGCAAGGAAAATCTCTTCCAGTAGCAGTCCCCACTAGATTGCTGTAAGTCATCTGTGAAACCTCACCACCAGTCACATCCTTTAGGATCAATTTTTGTTCAAGAACAAAGTTTAGAGAATTGAGAGATGAGCAGAGGAAATCTGGATTATGTTTGGAATTGAGAAATTTCAAACATTGAAAGGTGGTAAATTGGGAACAGTCCTTGACATCTGAGATGGCAGGAAGACCAGAGGGATCTCTTTTGGTTCAGCACAATGCTTGGGCTTGCTTGATGTGCGTCGCTGTTATTTAGCTCTACATTGCAGCACTAAAGGTCCTGTGGAAAGCAGACAGTGACTTCAGAGCCTTCAGTGTCTGGATGGAGTGCCTTGAAGCGATAAGATTTTCAAGATGAGATGTACAAAGCTCCTACAAAGCCCGGTCCCCATATAGCATGGCTGGATGAACTATCCAAAAGCAAAGCCTTTGAAACCTCTGGTCACTTGAAAGTCTTTGTCTATCATTCTCCACCAGATAAATAGGAAACATAAACTGTGGGTAAGAGTTCAGGCCTTGTAGGGATACAAGACTTGAGCTACCCCTAGAGGAGTTTTCTCTTTACTTAATTGAATTTAAATTAAAATTAATTTAAAACCACCTCCCTTTCAATTCCTGTGTATTTTTTTTCCCTTGTGGTTAGGATTGCACACAATTTTACTGAGAAGCAGCTCACAATGAACCACTTCAAAGACACTGCTGCATTTACAAAGGAAGGAATTTCTCTCTGATAGTTCAGCAGCACCAGCACGTGCTGGAAAATAAGCGTGCGCCACCAGACAGGATGCTACACATGGGGAATCCTAAACAAACAAACTGCTTATAATGTGACCGCACACAGACATCTAACACGATTTCGAAGTAGCTGCTTTCAGTACCTTGGAGCATTGAATCAAACCGCACAGAGCAAAGAGAAGTTGCTGTTGGTGTCCATGTGAAAATCATTACTAGGGGAAAGAATTCTCATTTTGTCCTGTTTGTACAGTGGAGTTGTGATTTGTGCTGGGGAATTGTAGGTGCTACCAGAATGCAAATTTTTAACAATAACAGACACCAAATATGCCCTTCTTTGTTGAAAATACAGGAATTAGAGGAATCTGTATTCACATCTTCAGACAACATAAAATTGAGCTACTGGTACTGAACTAATTTATTACAAAAGCTTGATACTTGCACCATGCTATTTAAAACCGTTGACGTATCTACACAGGAAACACTTGCAAGCCATACCCGAGGCTGGTGGGTGACCTACAAAAGCTAAAATGCCTGGCAAATATATTTTCCATTGAAATTTTTCAAATGAAAAATTGGGTTTTCTTAATTCTTTTTTGTCTTTTCTGTGGCAAGACGTTCTTTCCTGGATATCTTTCAAATGTTCATTTGGAAACCTGAGACTGAGTTGTGCTTTTTATTAGGGTTAATTAAAAAAAAAAGAAAGCACCGTTGCAAAAAAATAACTATTCATTTTACATGGCAGTGCTGTGACTACTAATGGTAGGAAATACACATTCAGTGATAGGTAAGGCAAAAATAGCTGAAGGTTGTTTTAGCCCACTTCTTTGACCTGAATGTCGAATGACCTGAATGCAGCACTACAAAACCAATTAAAGTGAGAGTCCAACCCAGCAGCCTGCCACCCCGGTCCCCATCCCCTGCACCACACAGCTCTGCAGCGTGCCAGGCAGCCTCCCCAGCAGGCTGTAGCAGAAGCTGACGCGCAGCAATCCCAGCTGAAAGCTGAAAGCCAACGTGTCCCAAATCCCTCTTCCCTCCTGCCACCAGGGATGGGCACGTGGATCTGGACTGGGAAGGGCTGTGACATTGGCGTGGTGCCTGCCTGTCCATTGGGATTTCTCTTCTCCCAAGCTAACCCTGCAATTCTTTTAGCAAGCAATTAGAACTTTTTTTTCTTGTTTTTAGTAGTCTTTGTCTACATTTGGATTTTCAAAAATAGCAAACTCAGGAGCTGTACAGGTTAAATAAATGCAATCTCAGAAATCCACCACAGGCTTAATGGCATAATCCCGACTTTGCCATTCCCATATCCCAGGACAGAGGGGGAAAGGGAGGATGTACACATACAAAAGAGTCATCCTGAAGGATAACACAAAAATAGAAGAGACGGGGAGGATGAGACAAGACTTTACAGAAATGGTAAACACAGCTTACATCCAATGTAAAAAGTTAAGGGAAACCTGTTATAGCCTTTAAACTCCCAAATACCATTTCTCACAGAGAATCTAAATCACCTTGGAGGAAAAAGGGAAAAATAAAACCTCCTAAAAAATGTCAAAGACCTGAAGTCCCCTCTGGTTTACAGTTTCTATCTGTATCTCAGCTATTTATAAAGCCGATCTCCACTGTCTCTGTCATACATTTCAGTTACACATGTCCTGAGCTAGCAAACCCGATCTGTATAACCATGGGAATAAGTGAAGATATCTGTGCACACTCTAAGCCTTGCTTATTTAAATAATAAGAATTGCTGCATTTGATTTATAAAGAGATGAGTAGGTTTCTGCATGAAACTCTGCTAATAGTTGAAAAAACCTGTTCCGCTACGGACTGGAAAAGGGCTCTCCCCACCCACACATACATCTGGGATTTGATCACCGACCCTTAGGAGAAATCCACAAAACCTGTTCTGCTTAGGACAGTATATTGCAGGGCAAAGGAAAACCTTGCACGCTTGAGATTTGGGTGGAATCCATTTATTCCACATGTGCAAAGACTGGACGAGGAATTGGAGGATCAGCAACAACCAAACTGAAACCTCTCCATGTGTTACACACATAAGCCATTCTTGATTGAAATCCTGTAAATCTTTTCCTTATATAATATGTTTCCTTGTCTGGTAGAGCTTGATTTCAATTTATACTGCTCTTTTTTTCTTTCCATCATGGTCAAAACTATCATAAACAGTCTGTAAACTCTGTATTGCAAATGGCTTTCTAATAATAAAAAAGGTATTTTCAGAAGAAAGATCAGTTCCTCATGTCTAAGTTGAAAAAGGGACACTGTCACACAGTCCAAGGTAAAAAAAAATATTAAAAAAACCTATTCATCTTAAAATTATTATAATACGGTAAAAAATATAATATATATGGGAAGGAATGCTTTACAGACTCTAAATAAGGAACCAAATTTCTGGCAAGAAAAGAAATACTTTCCCCAAAGGAAGTTAAAACTCATGAAGCATCCCTGATGGAGGTATTTTCTATATGAATTGTTTTTAAGAACTTGAATACATACCCTAACAAAACTGTCTAGGTCTAGAAAAACCCCAAATCACAGGCAAAATGTGTATTTTCTCCACTAATGCAGTTAGCTGCTTCTTCAGTGAAGTACTTAAAATTTATCATTTGCCCGAAAAAAATGTAACATCCCCTCCCCCAACAGATGCCCTTGCAAAATCCTGTTTTTTACTTATACCATGATAGTATTCCTCACCAAAGCGGACATCGGCACTCCTGCAGCAAATACTTCGGGGATCTCTACTTGCTCTTTCAGGAAACATCCATGTCAATACACCTCAGTGAAGATGTTCTCTGCAAAAGAAATCTATCACCATGTTCTTGATTTATTATTATTTACTGTTGTGCTGCTCAAATAATCCAAAGAGTTTATCTCCATCTCTGAAGATCTGTAGAGGTTTTGTTTGCTTGGATGGTTTTACAAGGATGAAAGCAGCGTTTCTGAAACATCGTAGTGAGTATTGCTGCAGTTAAAGCAAAAAACTTTGGACTTTGATCTTTGGCATTTATAAAAGCTAGTTTATAATCAGGATATCTTATCTGTTCTTAGAAGGCAAAATGGTACATTTATAAAAACAGAACTTCTAAGGAAATAAACCTATAGAATCTTAATTTAAATGCAAAGGCATAAAAAGATTTCGTCCTTTGTAATGTGAAGAAAGCTTGTTTCCAATTCCCCAAATGTTTTAACAAGCAATATTGTGTATAGACAAGCTTTGTGATATCAATTGACTGGTTATTAAATGTATTTGAGCTCTTCCCCTGCTCCCAGCACACTCACACACACACAAACATATGTGATATTCATGTTAACAATTTATTTCTTGGAGGGAAGAAACCAGGTCTTTCTCAGTCCAGTTATCCTGGATGTTGCCTCAGGTTATTTTAGTTTTTATGTTTAATATTGCAGGGATTTTATGGATTTACCAAAATACCATAATTTTTATTTTTAAATCACTTTTTTTTTTTCTTTTTCAAACAGATCCAATCCAGATCGGACCTTATCATACTCTGTTTCAGTTCACTGCCACCATATGTAAGTGTTGTCAAGGCTGTAATACATAAAGTATCTGGCTCCAGGGCTGGTTTCACTGTGGTTTTGGAATACAGATTTTATAATATGCAGTTTCCTTCCTCTGAAGTCATTGGGCTATTCAGTGGAATAAGGTTTCTAAGGCACAGGTCAGATCTTCAAAGGCACCTAGGCACCCAAATCCTGTTGAAGGATATCCTACTGATTTGAAGTGAGGTCCCTGCCTTATCCCCTTCAAAGGTGGGGGGAGATTCCTCAAACCATAGCTAAAGCCAGGTTAAACAGGCCCTCAGGCACTCCCCAGACAATCTCATGACTACTTGTCCCCCAGCCTTATTGCTTGGCCATTAACACAAGACACAGGTGGGACGTGCCCTTCTTTAGGTGGGACTCAATCGATGCAAACAGAGCCATTCTTAGGTTGCTCCAGCTCATGCCGTGGATGAGATTGAAAGAGCTGATGGATTTTTTGCCCTCGGATCGCTTGAGTTTCCATGATGTTACTGCACACACACATGCAGTGAGCTTGCTGCACAGATGGTCTGCATACACATACCTCTGGTATGGACATCTGATGCTTCTGAGATGCACCAGAGTGGCTGAGCAGGAGCAAAGCAGCTAAATCGCATGTAGGCAGCGGCGTTGATAGTGTCCAGAAGCACTGTGCTTTTGTGTCTTCCCTATGAACATGCGACCTCTGAAGCTGCCCCAAAGCATCAGATCTGCTGTGTTGGTGCGTGGTGACAAAAGCACGTGCCTCCAGCAGAATTTATATCTGCTGCAGCACAGTAGCCATGGCTGTAAAGTCTGGAGGGGTGCCAGTGCACTTGGGGATATTGTACTGGACCTTCAACCAAAGCTGCTGTATGCCCAGAAACTCAGCCAAACACAGAGAAATCCTCAAAATGGAATTAAATCTCCAAGAGAGAAAAAGAGGACATGTTCTGGAAAACTCAGCTGTATGGCATTTTGACTCCCAGCTCCAGAGGAACATCATCTTGCTTGGCTGTCCCTTGGGCTCTGGCTACCTTATTTGGAATTGTACTTTCTGATAGATCAATGTTTTCTGACTTCTTGGGATGTGTGTGGACAGTGGCAGATTTAGGTCAAAATTTACAGTGGCAGAATAATGGCTTCAGCTCTGTACATGTTCACCAAGAAAAACAGTTTTGAAAGGGCCCTTCAGGCCAGGGCTATACTACTAAGTCTTGTTGCTTTACCTGTTTTAAAAGATGCATATGACTGGAGGAAAAGGAAAATGTATAATGTGTGCCCACCTATAACAAAATTTGAATCGTCAAGCCATCAGGAGGTAGACTGGGCATATTTGGTGATACTACAGGTCTTACCATAAGACAGGTAAGAAGACACAGGGAAGAAGCCTGGCTACAGGTTCCCAAAGGTTTGCCCTTACTCTGAAGAGCTGTGTCATTGATTT